ACGCGTGTTCCAGCGAGATTTTTTATTCAAAAATGTGGTTCGATATGCTTTTTCTGATCATATCAAACCATTTGTAACTTAAAACTTGATGCCCCATGAATCGCTTTTATCTCAACTGCCATACTTGTCAGCCAATTTTACTTTGCTTTTGAATTATAAAAACCAGTTTTAGTAGAAAAAACATTGTTTGAGTTCAAAAGAAAGTAATATTCGTAAATCAGTGCGAAACTAGGGCTATTGATGGCTTGTAAATTATTTCCTCGAGTTTTGGCTTCAGTTACATGTCCAGGATTGGCCCTCAGAAATTTCTGCAAAACTGAATTCCAACCAAAAACTATTTTGACAGTATAATTACCATTTGGGACATAAACAACGCTACTCCGATACCCTTCGAAATAGAACCGGTATTTCATCTGGCAGTACATTATCGAATCCCAGCTCCTTTATACCATAAAACTTCACCAAAACTGTGAACGAAGTATCGATGGCTCATAAGCACTTCCGGATTTTAAAATGACAGCCCTTTAGGGCGTTCCTGTAATCCGACCCACCACTTTTAATAACCACCAACATCTACCGCATCTTTCCTTACTATCGTGCTTCGCGTTTCCACCTGTCTCATCACTTTTAGAGATCGCGCTAACACATTCGGCTCAGTGATCGCGTAACAACCCGAAGTCCGTCGACACCGACAGTCCCCTACGAACAAATATCCCATCATCAACAACGTACCAACACTTCCAATAATATCGTACACAATGCGCCGATAACTACAGGACAACGCACCTAAAAGACGACTCTTGTCGACGCGCTTCGCTACCCAAGCATACTTCCGCATAGTGGTCTTTCAGAATCCAAGGATACATCTTAGAGTGTCACATCAGTACCCAAGAGTACGCCGCTATAGCAGCACCTGAGAACCAGAAGGCATCCCCATCTCGTGCGACTTGGGAACCCAAGAGTAACCCCTAATAGTAGGACTTGAGGATCCAAGGGTACTCCCCAATGGTAGGACTTGAGGACCCAAGGGTACCCCCAATAGTAGGACTTGAGAACCCTAAGCTACTGGCTTGACGATGGTAGACACTCACTTTACTGTTCCTAGATCGTCACCCGGGAACAATAACCTCCCACCCCTAGCTCTAAGACTATGACAAACTACCGTAAAAACATGAGCCAAATCATCGATTTTGAAAGTTCAATTTCTTTTCTTCTCCATTATGAGGGTAATTGCTGAAGCAGTTCTTTGGATGCATGAGGAATCATGAAATCATTCTTAATTTTACCTAAGTTTCAGCTCAGAATACAGTATTTCTGGAGACAGTTCACTTTTAGACTTTTTGATGTAGAATATCGGTATTACATATATTTCTTTTTTCTAGTTATACAACTCTAACTGTGAACCAGATACAACATGGCACAGTAAAATAAATAGATTTTAAAAAAAAAGTTCACTTTTATGATTTTTGCAGATCCTCAAACTTTGGATCAATTACTCTACTATTTGAGATTGGTTGGTATGAAGCCGGCAACTCTTTTTCTTATACATGACATCCAATTCTTTTTAAAAGCTGCCTAAAAATGACTGCAAGGAAAACTAAACCCGAACTCGACCTTCGAGACCGAACCCGAACCCGAACCCGAACCCGAACCCGAACCCGAACCCTGAAACCGAACCCGAACCCGAACCCTGAAACCGAACCCGAACCCGAACCCTGACACCGAACCCGAACCGAACCCGACCGAACCCGAACCCGAACCCGAACTCGAACTCTCAGACCGAACCCGAACCCGAACCCACCGAACCCGAACGTTTGGGTTCGGTGCATGCCTACCCACACCCTAACATTCCAATTAATTTTATTAAAGTTCAGATGATATGTATATTTAAATGAAACATAGACGATCATTTAGATGACTTGCGAACTGAAATAATCACTCTTCTGTTACCTGGAATTGGTATTTGGTAGATTTTGATGTCATTTTTAATGTTTTACATTTTCTGCAGTTTTTACTAAAGTATATTTGCGAGTTGCAAATTGCGACTATCTTATGTGTCAAATCATGTGAAATATATAACGATCAACATGTTCCCAGTTAATAACTACACAAGAAAATAACGTGTATATCTTTGAGAGCATAGCGGTTTCATCTTATTATTTAATTTATGAATTTTCGAAGACTATTTAATATAATACCAATCAATTTTTAATTGTCAGAATTAGTTAACCTTTCAAAAATTAAAAAAGAGTAGTTAACGTTTGTTTTTCCGATTTTCACTCTTATATTTGTAACTATCAACGTGATTATGGGATGTACTCTCATATATTCTCACAAATCAAAGGCAAAAGTATTGAAAAACCTACATACTAAGTCTATTTAAACTTCGACAACTAATAATATTGTTAAATATCGTAGTAAATCGTCAAAGAAGTATGCTTATTGATAATTTTTCGCAGGTTAGGTGAACTTCGCTAATGTAATCTACTTTTCTTATGTGGATTACTGTCTAAAAAATGGAAGTGACTATGTACACATATGTGTACATAGCCAAGTGGCTATGTACACACAAGTGTATATAGCTGACTGACTGTATACACATATGTGTATATAGCCCTTTGGCTATGTACACACAGGTAGATATAACCAATATATTAGTAAATATGAAGTCATATTATAATATTATATGTTTTTGTTGATTTATATATAGTACTGGACAAAAATATAAGAACACGCGTTTTTTTTTGGGAAGGTAACGATTCGTAACGGTTGGTTACGAAAGCCCAGTAAGAAGCAGGGCTTTCGTAACAATGTAAAATGCATAAATCATAAAAAGCAGGGCTTTCGTATCGATTTTTGACAGGGCTTTCGTATCGTTTTAGACAGGGCTTTCGTATCATTTTTAAAGATCTTTCCTATCAAGTTTACAGGGCCTTCGTAACAATTTTGACAGGGCCTTCGTATCGGTCTTACAGGGTCTTCGTACCGTTCTTACAGGGCTATCGTAACGTAAAAGGATTTAGTATGATCTTTAGTCAGATGTTGCTGACAGGATTTCATATTGAAATTAGTGATCTACCAAAATTATAACATAAATAGTTCAAAAGCAGAAAGTGAGAACCAGAATATAAGTATAGACAAATTTTTATCTTCTTTTAAATCTCTTTCTTAGTAACAACAAAAAGTAACAAAAACCAGGCAATATATAAAGAGAGAAGAGTGAACGAGAACAATATCCAGATAATAGAATTAAGAATACACATAATTGATTTCCTCGATTTTAAGTCAACAACTTTAACAAAAAAAAGGTGTACACAAATCTGGAAAAGCATAGAGAACTAGATATAGAGAACAAAAAAGATACCAAAAGAAAAAGACTTTTCATTCTACTTATATACTCTAAAATAATGGAGTCTATTTAGTTATTGACGTCGACGATTTTTTGACGTGATTGACGAGGCAGGACCTCCGCAGCTATTAGCTTTAGCAGGTTTTCGATTATTTTTCACATCCGTAAGTGGCGATGATGTTATTTTACGTTTACATAATCGATTTACCAACGGTGTTCCACACCTAATTAACATAATTAAGAAGAACATAAGTCCGAGAATTTATCTATACGATCTTCATAATAACAAATCTTACTTCGTTGTGTTGCACTCCTGTTGTGGTTCATTAGCCACTAGTGTGAGCACTGGTTGTGGTGATATAGTATTGTTAATAACTGGTTTAGCTAATCGTTTTGATGATTTCATTTCACTGATATCACTAAAATTAAGAAGAAGAAACAGAAAGTTGATATACCTAATGTGAAGTACTAAGAAATAAGCAAAGAATAGACAACGATCTTTACTCTAATAAGACAGCAGCAGATAATGATTGACTTTGTTTTGGTGGTTGTATTGCGTTAGTACTAGTTGTTTTATTCAGAGAAGGGTTTTCCTTTTCTTGCTGTATGGTTGTTGATGATAAAATTGTAACATCATAATCAATATTAGTTTTTTTATTGATAATGTTAACTGCATCGTGACAATGATTGAAAATAATTTGGATGCGATCACGACAGACAAGAATCTTTTCATGGGAAAAATGATCTTCTACATCTCGAATTCTCGGCATATCACCCATTGTTTTGGTATATTCTAATATAAATTTTGTCGTACAATAAGATTCATCTTGTACTCGTAAAATTAACCAAGTTTGACCTATGAAATACAAAGAGAAATAAATAGAGTAAGAAACAAATGAAAGAAGGAAAAAAAGAGAAAATTCTTACCGTCTAGTGGACCACCTTTAAATTTTTTATAAATATTATATGTTCCATCTGCTTCTAAAACTCCTAAATAACGATGACTTCCACTGATTTGTCGACCATTTTCTTTTTTAAATATTTCTCTGTTGGCAATGCCAATACCTTTAATCTTCTTAGGTGGTAACTCAATGAATCGTATTAACTCTTCTAATAAATTTTGATTTGGGTACTAGATCAATTCGTCGCAAGTCAATTTGTCGCATCCAATTCGTCGCAATCAATTCGTCGCACAATCAATTTCTCGCACGTCAATTTGTCGCAATCTATTCGTCGCATCTCTCATTATAAATTTCCCGTATCAGAGTTTGATCTTGCGGGAAAATGATACATAGACAGAAATGAAATGACGTATTCAGAGAATAGAAAATAACAACATCTTGTAATTT